TTTAGGCCTGGCAGCTTAGGAAGGGCAAGAGGAGCACAGAGCTCAGGTCACGGGGGCCAGGGCCAGAGGTCTCAGGACATCGAAGGCTGAGTCCAGCTTGACCCAGGCTAATGAGCCTCAGAAGAGGACAGAGATAAATGGCTGGCGGGGGCGGGGGGGCAGGGAGAAAGACTAGAAAACTCAGGCTACAGGGAAGAAGAGAGGGAGACAGAGCTATACGTAGCAGTGACCCTCAGCCTCAGATGATTTATTTCAGGAGCCTTCAGCCATCAAAGTCTAACCACAAAGCTACTTTCTTCCAACATAGGTGAGTGAGTGTGGCTGCGGAGGGGCAGGTCCCTGTCCCCGCCCGGTCCCCTGCCCAGCCCTTCAGATCTGCTTGGAGCCCAAGGGTTCTCAGGTGGGCAAGGGACAGTGGTGTCACCCAGCCTGCCCCCTCCAACCTCCCCTTGCCTCTGTCCTTGCAGGAGACAGCCCTTCCTCAGAGCCCAGCAGCCCAAGCCCTCTGGCCAGCACTGGGACCCCAGGTACTCTGCTGCTCAGATCCAGATGCCCTCTGGGGAGGGCCCAGTGAGGAAGCAGACACAGTTGCTGCCCTACAGGAGAATACAGACTGGTGGGGGAACAGACAAGTAAACAGGACCGTATGTTGCCAACTACAAAGCAGGGGGAAAGGGCTGTGATGAGCATAAGCAGAAAGGGCTGCAAGGGCCAAGACAGACACAGACATAGGCCGCTTCAGACTCAGGAGCCTGGGAAGACATGCTAGAGTGAGTGACCTTGGAAGCTGAGGCCCAAGAGGGAGTTAACCAGATGAGGAGTGTGGGGTGGAGGGTGGTAGGGTATATTCCAGGCAGAGGCCTTTATAGGTAAAGGCCCAAAGTTAGAAGAGAGGATGGCTCCTTCTGGAACTGAAAGCAGTAAAGAAAAGGAAGATTTTGGACTAAAGAGGCCCCCTCGTACAGGCTGGCTGAGGCCCTGAGCAGGCCTACCCATGCTTCCTAATCCACAGCAGCTCCAGAGAAGGCCTCACAGGTCCTCATGGTAGCCAGGAAACCCGTGACACCGAGCACCAGTACTGTGGATGGTCACTCCCAGTCCCCGCTGGGCCTGACTCAGTCCCAGACACAGAAGTACACAGCAGGACTTGGTGAGTACCTGGGGCTGAGGGTCAAGAGCATGGGGTCATATCTAGTTGGGGTCCTTCTCCACCTCCTCAGAAGACCCAGGATCTGCCCCACAAGGAGGCCTCACAGGGCCAGGATCCACATCAGTGGCAACCTGATTTGGGGATGAGAGAGGTTTGGTGGGAGGTAGAGACACAGCCTTGGGCCTGGTCACAATGAAGGCAAAAGGAGCCTGGATGGACTCGGGACTGATAAAGGCATGGAGGGGAAAGGGAGAGGTAGAACCCAAAATGATGGCAAGGGAGGCAAAAGGCGTTTGGCCAGGGCCACACACTCTTTGGGGCAGGTTGACCTTCACACGCCAATGTGGGGCAAGAGCTGGGAGGGGGTGGACCTGCTGGTTCATGGCATATAGGCCCAGCACAGCAGCCTGACCATTTCTCTCATCCTACCCCTTGGCTCTGGGAATTTTTTATACTCACAGACTTATTTGGCAGTGCAGGGATGGATAAGGAAACGGACAGCGATCAGACCTGCAGTACAATGAGTGGAAGAGGGGGTGCCTGGCTGGCTCAGTCGCTGGAGCTGTGACCCTTGATCTCAGGGTTACAAGTTCAAGCCCCATGTTGGCTGTAAAGATTACTTAAAAATAAAAGCTTAAAAAAAAAAAAGAGTTGAAGAGGGGAAGAGATGGGTGATAGTACTACTTTTTAAGAGGGCCAGAAACTTGTGTCCCTTAACTGGCAGCCTGCCTCATTAAATCGGTGCCTGGGGATAAACATCCAGTGAGCTTTTTTCCGCCCACTTCAACCTTTGGCAAAAACACAGATTGCTCTACATTGCCCAGCCTGGCTCCCTATCTCTGGAGCATAAATGGGCCCCAAGGGGATGGTGGGAAGAGATTAACGGTTGGGGGGGGGCATCTTGAATTTTTGGAGTCCCCTGGAGCTAGTAACATGAGCAACCAGCAATGCCATTCACCTGATCCCACATTACCCAGTTCCGACCTCCATCCTCATGAGATCTGGTCTGAGTGGCAAGGAGGAAGTCTTTTTTGTAGGGCATGAGCTCCTTCTGAGTTCTTTACCTGAGGAAGTGGGAGGGGAGCTAGCTTTCTCTCTCTCTGGTGGGCCATCCCAGTCCCGTCACTGATGCACCCATCCCCACTCCATTTCAGACACTTCTCAAAATATTACTCCCATATCAACCACCATGAGTCTGAGGACAAGAGAAGACTCTTTCATCCTGCCCAGCCCCACATCAGAGACGGTGCTCACTGTGGCTGCATTTGGTAAGAGGGAGAAGGTGGGAAGAGTGGTAGAACCAAGAACTAACTTGGACTCTGGATCTGGAAACATAAGTTTAAATCCCACCTATTTGTTCTAGGAGGGCTTGGCTGATGAAGAAGGCCCTGGTAGGAAGGAGCCTCCACTGGCCCTCCAGTCAGCTCTTCTGGGCTCTGCTGGGTTCCATGTTCTTATGGGAGGGTGAGGCAGGGCTGTGGAGCTCGCTCTGGGCAGGGGTAGTGGGCTGAGAGCTCATTCATTCAGCAGAGAAGGGGAATTCACTTTGCTCTCAGAGCCTATCTACACAGCACTTAGCTGGGAGGGGAATTTGGACTCCTGTTGCCCCCTTTTGACCCTCCTTTGCCTCACCTTTACCCTGTCCTTTTCCCTGTTCAGGTGTTATCAGCTTCATTGTCATCCTGGTGGTTGTGGTGATCGTCCTAGTCAGTGTGGTCAGTCTAAGGTTTAAGTGTCGGAAGAACAAAGAGTCTGAAGGTACATGCCCTGCCACTCAGGGCCCCCCTTTGCCCCTCTTTGCTAAGAGACCAAGAGCTACATTTGGAGTTTAGGAAAAGAATGGCACATAAGCACCACTGATGAGACAGAAGGGCAGTCCACTTGGGTGGGCTTCTGAGTTATAGCATGTGACCCCCAATTTGTGCCTTTGAATATTTTACAGATCCCCAGAAACCTGGGAGTCCGGGGCTATCTGAAAGGTAAGATTGTCAGAGGTGTAAGGGAGGAATCATCTATCTGACCTCTCAGTCCCCCACTCCAAGAGAGAACTGATATTTCCTGGAGCGCCTGTGTGATTCAGTCAGTTGGGCGTCCAGCTCTTGGTTTCAGCTCAGGTCATGGTCTCAGGGTCGTGAGATCAAACCCCGTGTCAGGCTCTGCATTCAGTGAGGAGTCTGCTTGAGATTCTCTCCCTCTCCCTCTACCCCTCCCCCTGCTCTCTCTCTAACATAAATAAATAAAATCTTAAAAAAAAAAAAAAAAGAACTGATACTTCCTGCACATATGCTCCCACAAGCATGCATGGAATCTTGACAGCCACCACTGAGGCCAGGACTAGGGATGGGCAGGACAGGGGCGACCCTAAAATGAAACAATCAGGAGACAGGAGATGAACTGGAACTCTTCAGCCTGTGGGCTAAGCCTCTATAACTCCCTCATGAAAAATGTAGGAATTCAGATTCTAATATACCCCGCTTTTTAAAAAAATGTTATTGATTTATTTTAGAGAAAGAGAGAGAGGAGGGGAGAGGGGCAGAGGAAGAGGGAGAGAGAAACTTAAGCAGACTCCACACTGAGCTCAGAGCCCGACGCAGGGCTGGATCTCATGACCCTGAGATCACAACCTGAGCTGAAACCAAGAGTCGGGCGCTTAACCAACTGAGCCATCCAGGCGCCCCTCTAATATACCCTTTAAATAAGAAAATATTTAAGGAACATCTTGTATGTGCCAGGCACTATGGCAGGTATTTTATAATATTATCTCAAATCCTTACAGCAATGCCTCAAGGCAGATACACTGCATTCTGTACATTTGAACAAATTGAGACTTGGAGAGGTTGTAACTTGGTCAAGATCACGCAAGTAGCAAGTAGAAAAACTAAGATTTATATACAAGTTTTTTAGGCTTCCAAGCACACTCCCATTTCATTAGGGTCCACCACCAAAATACAGGTTTATTGAAACAAAGGTGGAAGTTCCAACACTTAACCCCACAGCTGCCTGACCACCCCATTGCCCTCCTCCTCCTCCATTTTACAACCCATGTTCCTTTCTTACCCCCAGCTGCTCTACAGCCAACGGAGAGAAAGACAGCATCACCCTGATCTCCATGAAGAATATCAACATGAATAACAGCAAAGGATGCCCCACAGCAGAGAAGGTACATTTTTCCTGATTCCTTCCTCCCTTCTCTCTCCTTTTCTTACCTTCAGGTTCTAGTTCCTTAACCAGAAAGGAGATACTTTCAGAGATGCAGGCTCTGCTCTCCTCTTCCCTAACCTGCCACTCCCGAGAAGTTCACCCTTTTTCATGATGTATTTATTTTGCAGGTTCTTTAGAAGCAATGTTGGGTCCCCATGGGTCAAAGGATGACGCAGCTGCCCTGTGTCTGTAAAGAGGAAGGCGATGGAAGTGGTAGAGGCATGAACCACATATAAATTATTTTATTATTTCACACTTACTCCAAGATCTAAAAGGACACTGGCATTCCTCCAGATCTAGGAGCAAGCTGCCAGTATGAGAGACTCTTTCCCATATGGGCAGCCACTCTGGAAACACAGCCTGCTCCTCCCACCTGCTCACCGTCACAGGAAGGGGGAGTCTGGAGAGCAAGAGCAAGGAAAATGACAAAGTGGAGTGGCCTTTGCTACTTTGCATTAAAATTATTTTCTGGCCGACGGTCTAATTTCTTTTAAGGTCTGTGCTCTCGTGCGTGTTTGTTAACGGTGTTCTAGCAGCTGCGGGGTCTCCTTTCCTGGGCAAGGTATGGATCCAAGTTTCTGCCCCTGTGGGGAGCTCTCCAAGCAACCTGCGAGGTAGACTGAACATTTTGTCAGGTCTGCCTCAGTTCCCCCGGATTTTTTTTTTTTTTTAAGATTTTATTTATTTATTTGAGAGAGAGAAAGAGCACAAGAGGGGGGAGCGGGAGAGGGAGAAGCAGACTCCCTGCTGAGCAGGGAGCCCGATGCGGGACTCAATCCCGGGACTCCAGGATCATGACCTGAGCCGAAGGCAGTCGCTTAACCAACTGAGCCACCCAGGCGCCCGTTCCCCCGGATTATCAAGGAAGAATGAGGTCCTGAGGGACTAATTGCTTCAAGAGAGGAGAGAGAAAGGGAGCTGGAAACAGTGACCATTCGTCACCAGTAAAGACGTGTTGAACCTGGAGAGTGAGAACATGAGAGGCACAGCGCATTCTGACTAGGGAAGGCCAGCAGGGAGAGCTGAATAATATGAGGGCAGATGTCCTCTGCCTGCCTCAGGGTAGACATGCCTTGCTTTGGTCCTAGCTATTGGAATAACACCGGGGAGGTCTGGAACAGGGGTAGGTCTGTGACTTCATAAGCCAAAACCCACCCCCTTTACCCCATACAGCTGTAATCTTTGTGTCCTAGAAAGAGAATAAAGGGTGACAAACACTCTTAAGTCTTTTAAAGGGAAGGAGGAAAAGCAGTTACTCGTTTTCTTAGAAATCTCCACCATGACACTGGTTTGGAAATGAATCTTGGTTGGGGAAAATTCAGTGGAAGAGTCACCTGTGGGTGTCTGCACAGAGGGGTTAACTTTATAAGTATCTGCTAGTTGGCAGTTCAGATTACAAGGAGCTTACACATTCGGAACAACGTGCAACAATATGCTATTTGCTTCTGGATTTAGACTCTGCGAGGTGATCTGAGAGAGAAAGCCTGGAACAATTTCTTTGCAACTATTCAAGCGGACTGAAGAAACCTATTGGATTCTAAAATCTTCTAGGACAAGGCTTGAAATCTAGTCACCTCTGTAGCTCCTATTTGGTACACGGTGCCCAGCACATCGAAGGTCATAAAAACTGGCTCTTGAGGGCAGGATTTGTCATCACAGGCTAAGCTGTGCAGCTGGGCAAAATCACTCCCCAGCTCCCAGCCTGTTTTCTTACTTTTAAAGCAAGGTGGCTGGACTATTTGGTCTTCACTATCTTTTCTGGTTCTTATATTCTACAGTTCTATAAACTCTAGATGTAAGAAAAAATGAACACAATCTTTTGAGTAGAGATCACCCTGGGTGGAAGCCAGAGACAAGTCTTAGGTGAGTCTGGGCAAGTCTTCTACATTCTCTGGACTTAAGATTTCCCTGTGTCTTGGGGCGCCTGGGTGGCTCAGTCGTTAAGTGTCTGCCTTTGGCTCAGGTCATGATCCCAGTGTCCTGGGATCGAGCCCCACATCGGGCTCCCTGCTCCGCGGGAAGCCTGCTTCTCCCTCCCCCACTCCCCCTGCTTGTGTTCCCACTCTTGCTGTCTCTCTCTCTGTCATCTTAAAAAAAAAAAAAAAAAGATTTCCCTGTGTCTTGAGGGAAGAATGATTCCTAACTGGCCTTTGGTAGCTACTTGGTAGGTAAAATGGAAGAGTAAATGTGGAGACATGTGGGAAGCAGAAGTACTAGTTGGCAATTGCAGCAGACAATGTGGAGTATCACCACCCAGGTCTCACTTCAAGGTCAACGCGCTGTTTCCCCAGCTGTTAGGAGTGTTGGCTGCTCAAAATTAAAAAAAAAAAAGGAGCATTGGCTGCTGAGGGCTCATAGCTGGCTGATGACTGGTTGATGGGGGTGGGATAAAGACCTAGACCTCTTGCCTCAATTTCCCCCTCTGTCCAATCCAGCTTCCCTTACTCCTCATAGCTCTTGTTCCCAGGAGCACTCACCAATGAACCCTCAGCATGCAAATCTCAGAGTCTATTTCCAACCTATGACAGCAATACTACAGCATTTTAAAAAATACTACAGCATTTTAAAAAATAATTTATTTGGGGAGAGGGGCAGAGGGAGAGGGAAAAGCAGGCTCCCTGCTGGGCTGGGAGCTCAATCCCAGGACCCTGGGATCATGACCTGAGCCAAAGGCAAATGCTTAACCAACTGAGTCACCCAGGTGCCCCTAAAATATGACAGCATTTTTTAAAATAACTCAGAGATATTTATTTAAGCCACACTGCAAAAAGCACGACTTCCTAGCCAGTTCCAGCACACACAAAAAAATCCATCATTGTGATAGAACTCTCCAGGTGACATAACAATGTCTAGAAGTACTAGATTCTGTTTGAATTGTTGTTATTCTGGCTGCCATGGGCACTTCATTCAGCTGCTTATCATACTGGACAAATTAGGTCAAGAACATGAGGTTCACTCTAGGTAACTCAGTTGATGTCTCCATTCTAAGACAAACTTCCCCCTGACTCTGGACAATGTCCTGCAAATATGAGCTGTTAGTCATAAGGTATTTATATGCGGGGGAAAGGGTGTGAACTGGTATGAATATGAGATTGGATGGCTTTTACCCAGAAACCGACATTGCAGTTCTTCATTAGCCAGGTTGCTTTTCCTGTTGCTAAATAGCTTTCCTTTGAGAAGGGGGCAAGGATGAATTCACTTAATTCTCTAGCAAACTGCTTTAGAAGGAGTTCTGCTAGAGGATCCTACTATATATGCAAATACAAGAACCCACCTCTGATAGGAAATCCGAGTGCAGCCTTCTGCAGCCCCTGCAACTTCCCTGAGACAGTATCTCTTCCTTGATGTCTAGACAACAGGATGGTGGCCATTTACAAGACAGCTTCCTCCCTATTCTAACACAGGACTAGATGGCCCCAAAGCAGGAACAGGTGGTGGGGTGGGGTGGTTACTGTAAAGGGTCCTTCTTTTGCTTCTTTCCCCATCTTATAGGAGGGCAACCAACAAACCAGCTCAGGCACACAGGCCCAGTTGGACAGAGGGAACATTTACTCAGTATCTTTCTTCCAGGGATAAATGGGGCAGTATCTCAATCATATAGGGCACAAGGCAAACCTCAGTATCACCAGCAAAAATTCACTACAGTTCAACAAATATTTCTAAAAGTAGAGAAAACTGATAGATATCAGAGGCCAGCTCTCAATAAAATGGTTTAGCAGATGAAGGATCATTGCAGGCCCCTTGGCCTAGTACATGCATATAATTTCCTAAAGCCAGGCTAGTACTAATCAACTCAATTTGAATCTGTTGGACAACATCGTGTGGCTCTGCTCAGCGGTCTCCTTCTGGATTTGTGGACGTCCTTTATCACCTCTTTGAACTCCTTTCTATACCTATGTCCTTCTCCTTGAGAACCACCTCAGAGTTCCCAAATTCTCTTTCCTTATTTCCTTCCCAGTTGCTTCCTCACTCCTCCTGCTGGTTACTTTCCCCGGGCACCTCCATCCTGAACCTTCTGAGCCCAAAGCTTCCTCTTTTAACAAACACAGAGACTGAATTTGATAGTGGGAATTGTTTTGTTGAGTGGTTGGTGTGCTTAAGCCAAAACTGGCACAGAAGTGTTCTAAATGTTGAGGTTTGGAGTTCTAAGTTACTCTTAGTGCTACAGTCATAGAAACATTCATCTAGTAGTGTTAATTCAGGTGTAAATGAGCTAAAGGGTATGTTTGCTCGCAGTATCTGACAAGGTTACCATGCTAAGCCATTTTTTACTGATTTAGGACTAAATGAGTCTTGTAGAAAAAAAGTGGGGAGTGAGGTTTCAGAGGACGATGGAAAAGGTTTGTTGAGGTACCAGACATTTCCAAAAGGCTGCAACTTCCCAAATCTTGTTCAGCATTCTTGAACCTGGACTCTACTCCTAAGTAGCCCCATAATTCACAGTACCCCTTCTCAATCCAATTACTCCCCACAGTGCTCTAGCACCCCCACTATCAATCAGATACCTCTCACTTCATAGCACTCTGAGATTTCTGAGTACCTCCAGACCTTAGCCCTGTGCCCCTAGACTCTTAAGGCATACCCCACCTTCCCCTGTCCATATTTTAGAGCAGTCTAGTTTCTCAAAACCAAATAAATTTCCTTCTTAAGTTTAATCACCTAATGTATATCCCTGATCAGGTCCCTTGCCTGCAAAGCACAAGTGCCTTCCTTAGCATACTGATGCTCATATATCCTAGAGCCACCACTAACTGCAGGGAAGGAATAAGAACTGCATACAACTGGAGGAGTTTACCCTATCAGTTTGTGTCTCCAGCTGATCATCTCCCAGTCCCCAAATGCCTAAGTAGCTGCTGCTTGGTATCATTGTTGGCATACTGATGTGTTCTTCCTGGGTAAGATCTCAATGAATTCTAAGTAATTTTTTGTTTTGGAATGAATTGATCATTTTTCACTTTTGAAACCTGATCTTTGGCCATCCCAATTCACCCGCAGGCACGAGTCAGTAAGGCACTATGAGAATTGCTTTTATTCTTTGCTAGGCCCCATGCAGACCTGAGTGGGAAAACGCAGGAATATTTTACTTTCCTTTTACTAATTCCGTAGGGCCTTCAGAAAACAAGCAAATGGGCCACGGAAACGAGTGGGGTGGAACAGAAGAGAAAAGTCTCAGAGGTGCCCTGGAGTAGGATGGGATGGATGAAGGATAAGGAACAGCAAAGATAGGGGCTTTAATGCTGGCTCCAACACCTGCCCCTTTCTTCTTTCTCTACCCCTAGACCTCAGAGGTCCCTCGAATGATGCTGCGCCAAAGCAAACGCACGAAGAGGGGCATACCCAGCCTGCCCTCTACATAAATCTACCTCACTTTTCTGTTTTCTTGGTTCTTAAAATCTCAGGATTGGGTTCACATCCCCAAAACCCGTCTCTCAATCTCCAGGACCAAACATACACTTTGCACAGAACGGGCATTAGCATATATTTTAAAAGGACATCCTTGAGATGAATAGTCATACTGTGATCCTCTAGTTCGCAAAACCCTTCCCAGGCAGGATTTCATCGCGCCTCCCTGAATGCCCCCAGTGTTAGGTGAGGCCGAAGCCACTATTCCCACGCTACAGACGAGTGAAAGTGTGGTCCGCAGTCGCCCAGCAGTCAACCAGCAGCAACAAACCTCCACAGACCTCACTTCCAAGGGTCGAGCCCCACACGCCCCTACAACTCCAACAGCCCCTCGCTCGGAGCCTGCCGGGAGTTGTAGTCCAATGTCCCGCGGCTCCTATGAGTTGGACTACAATGACCAGCATGCCCCGCGCTTCTCGCCCCGTCCCTTTCAGCCTCGGGCGCTGGGGAGGCTCCGCAGACCTGCTGATTGGGAACCGATATGGCTGCGACTCTGGGCAGCGGAGAGCGCTGGACCGAAGGTACCAGGTCCTTGCCGGAGGGTGGGACAGGGCAGAGTTGGGAGAGGGATGGAGCTCCTTGAGATTACTGAGGGCTGAGACCCTGGGCCTGAGGTGAAGGATGGAGGCCTATGAAGAGATGCTGAGCCTGAGTAGGGTTCCGAATTAGGTGGGGGACCGCCCAGGGCAGGGGCCGGGATCTGAAAATCAGGAGCGCTGGCTCAAGCTAAGGAACTGGCTAGGAGCCCAGAGTACCCGTGATGACTTTTTTGCCTCCGGCCCCCAGCCCCGCCCCGTCTTGGCCCGTGCCCAGCTTAGGGCCCGCGGTGGTCAGGTCCCGCCTGTGCCAGGGTGGCTGGGAGGTCAGCAGGGTGATGCGAATTCCCACAGCTTGCTTTTCCGGCCCCTATCCTCGCTCCGCCCAAGTAGGCCGCCTGACTCTCAATCTCCGTTTGGTCCTGTTCCTGCAGCCCACATCGGGACCGATAGGCCGGCCTTTCTGCAGTCAAGCAAAGAGTATTGATTCAATACCTATTATGTACCCTGCATTATGCTGATCGTGCAGTAGGGATCTGACAGACTTGGGCCCCTGCGATCACAAAACTCACAATCCATTGAGGGAGTTCGACAGGTAGACAGACAATTACGAAACAGAGCCACTAAGTCCTGAGCTACACAGCAAGGTCTTAGGTTTGGGAAGCACACTGACAGCCTGGGTGTCAGAGGAGGCCTCAGGAAGAAAGCGTGACATATGATGACATGAAGGATGCTTTGGAGTTAGTCAGGATGACTTAGAGGAAGAATGTTGTAAGCAGAGGGAACAGCATGTGCAAAGGCACAGAGAAAAGAGAAAGCATTGCTGATCTGAAAGGTATTTGGTGTGGCTAGAGCATAGGCTGCAAAAGAGCTCGTGGTGAGGGAGGAGGCTGCAGAGGCAGGCTGAGCCTATAAGAAATTTGGACAAGGAGCAGTGGGTAGTCACTAAGGGATTTTAGGCAGGAGAGAGACATTTTTAAAGCCTCTTCCAGATCCTCCAGACAGGACCTGAGTCTTCTGCCTTCCTTGACTGGATTGCTATGGCCTTCTTTACATTCTCCAGGTGTTATGATGAATCGAATCTTCTCGCTTTAAACTATAACCCCTTTGTGGTCAGAAGTAGGTCTTACCCATATATCTAGCCAAGTGTGTTGTTCTATAACTGCTAGTTTAAAAGAACTGAACTCACCCCTACTTTAAATCTTAGTGGTGGGAAGCATGGCAACAACAACAACAACAAATTATTTTATGAGCAATGTGACTTCTGACCATGGATCACAGAAAAATAGGCTTCCCCCTCCACTGCACTAAAGGTAGACACCTTTTGAAAGGCAAGGTACTGAGGACATGCCTCTTAAGCCCCTTCTCTGGCTCTGATTCAAAATTATTTGTTGAATGACCACTGTAGGTATGGTGGACATTATTATGCTTCATATTTCTAGCATTATAAGTTTTTCATGGTTGCCTCCGTATTTACTATATTATTTTCTCAAGGAAGATGTTCATTCAATTTTATATGGATGCTTAAAAGTCAGTATGATGTCAGTAGTTTGGCCTTCACACTCAGGGCCACAAGCAGCCTCCCTGATAGCGAGGGCAAGTAGCAAAGTTAATTGCAGATCAGACTGAGGCCTAACGGAGGGGCTATTGCTTTGCAGCTTACATTGATGCAGTTAGAAGAAACAAATACCCAGAAGATAGACTTCCTGAAAGTCATGATCCCTGTGGGTGCTGTAACTGCATGAAAGTGCAAAAGGAAAAGAAGTCTGAGCATGAGTGGAATGCAACCCGACAGGGTGAGGGAAGTGCCACTTACACTGAGGAACAGCTGCTCGGGGTACAAAGGTGAGTCTGTGGTGGGATTCAATGAGTGATTTTAATGTAGAGTTCCTGGCAGAATGTGTTACATAAGCATTGACTGTTATTGGTACTTTTATTATTATTATGGAAGCACAACAGCTTCTTGGCTTCAGAGGCAAGACTAGGTGGGAGTGGAGTGTTAGGGTGTAATCTGAGGTAACTTTACTGCTTCTGTGTCGGAGAGGCAGGGAAAACCAACTAGATGAAACAGACATCTATACAACAGTCTAGCCAACAACATCAGAATACACATTCTTCTCAATATACATGAAACATTCTCCAGGATAGATCAGATGTTAGGCTGCAAAACAAGTGTCAATAAATTTAAAAGGATTAAAATCATACAATGTATGTTCTCTGATATCGACAACAGAAGCAAATTTAGGAAATTCACAAATATGTGAAAATTAAGCAATATATTCCTGAAATAACAAATAGGTCACAGAAGAAATCATACGAAAAATTAGAAAATACTTTGAGATGAATGAAAATGAAAACACAACATACCAAAATATACAGGATGCAACTAAAGCAATACATAGAAGGACATTTATAGCTGTAAATGTTTATATATATATATATACATATATATATATTTAAAAATCTCAGATCAGTAACCTAATCTTTCACCTTAACAAACCAGAAAAAGAAGAGCAAAAAGAGTACACTAAATCCAAGCAAGCAGAATGAAGGAAATAATATAGAGTGGAAATAAATGAAATCAAGGTTAGAAAAACAACAGAAAATCAACAAAACCAAAAGTTGGCTTTTTGAAAATATCAACAAAATTGAAAAACCCTTAGCTAGGCTAACCAAGAAAAAGAGAGAAGACTCAAATAACTAAAATCAGAAATAAAAGAGGGGACATCACTACCAATCTTACAATGATAATAAAGATTTTAAAAGGATACTATGAACAATTGTATGCCAACAAATTAGATAACCTAGATGAAACAGACAAATTTGTAGAAATGTACAAACTAGGAAATCATACAGACCTACCACAAATACAGTGATTAAATTAATAATAAAAAAATTTTACCCTGTGACCCAGCAGTTGCACTACTAGGTTTTTACCCAAAGGATACAAACAGTGATCTGAAGGGGCACCTGCACCCCAATGTTTATAGCAGCAATGTCCACAATCACCAAACTATGGAAAGAGTGCAGATGTCCACTGACAGATGAATGGATAAAGAAGAATGGATAAAGAAGATACACACACACACACACACACACATAGATACATAAAATGGAATATTACTCAGACATCAAAAAAATGAAATCTTGCCATTTGCAATGATGGGGATGGAATTAGAGGGTATCATGCTAATTCCACATCCACTTATATGTGGAATTAAGAAACAAAACAGGATCATAGGGGAAGGGAGGGAAAAATAAAATAAGACAAAATTAGAGAGGGAGACAAACCATAAGAGACTTTTAACTATAGGAAACAAACAGGGTTGCTGGGGGTGGGGGGTGGACGGATGGGGTAACTGGGTGACGGGCATTAAGGATGTAATGAGCACTGGGTGTTATATGCAAATGATAAATCACTGAACTACCTCTGAAACTATCTCTGAAACTGTTAACACACTATATGTTAATTTTTTTTCCACACTATATGTTAATTAATTGAATTTAAATAAAATTTTTAAAAAATTTTCCCACAAAGAAAAACCTAGGCCCAGAAGCCTTCACTGGTAAATTCTACCAAACATTTGAAGAATTAACTAATCCTTCATAAACTATTAGAGAAAATACAAGAGAGGGGAGCACTTCCCAACTCATTCTATGGGGCCAATATTACACTACAAGTAAAACCAGACAAAGACATAAGAAAACTAAACTAGCAATCAATATCCCTTATGGATATAGATTCTAGCAACATATAAAAACATATAAAAAGGATTATATACCTTGGGGCATCTGGGTGGCTCAGTTGGTTAAGCTTCTGACTCTTGGTTTTGGCTCAGGTCATGATCTTGTGTCCGTGAGATTGAGCCCTGCATCTGGCTCTGTGCTCAGCGGGGAGTCTGCTCCTCTCCTCCTCCCTCTGCTGCTCCCCCCAATTATGTGCCCTCTCTCTCTCTCAAATAAAAAAAAAGAATAAATATTTTTTTAAAAAGATTATATACCTTGACCAAGTGGTATTTATCCCAGGAATGCAAGGTTGTTTAACACATGAAGATTAATCAGTGTGATACACCATATTAATAGAATAAAGGACAAGGCCACATGATCATTTTAATAGGTACAGAAAAAGCATTTGACAAAATCCAACACTATTTCATGATAACAATACTCAACACAATAGGAGTAGAAGAGAACCTCCTCAGCTGATAAAGGCCATCTACCAAAAACCCACAGCTAACATCATCATACTTAATGGTGAAAAACTGGATGCTTTCCAAGGTCAAGAAAAAGACAAGTATGTTCACTCTAGCCACTAGAGGTTCAAGCCAGGGCATTTTGGCAAGAAAAAGAGATATAGAAGTCATCCAGATTGGTGGCGCCTGGGTGGCTCAGTCAATTGAGCTTCAGACTCTTGGCTTTGGCTCAGGTTATGATCTCAGGGTCGAGAGGTCCAGCTCCATGTTCGGGCTCCACACTCAGCAGGTAGTCTGCTTGAGATTCTCTCCCTCTCCCTCTGACCCTCCCCCGCCCACTTATGTGTGCTCAGGCTCTCTCTAAAATAAATAAGTAATGGGATTCCTGGGTGGCTCAGTCGGTTAAGCGTCTGCCCTCAGCTCGGGTCATGGTCTTGGGGTCCTAGGATAGAGCCCCATGTCTGGCTCTCCTCTCAGTGGGGAGCCTGCTTCTCCCTCTCCCCTTGCCTGCTGCTCCCCCTGCTAATGCTCTCTCTCTGTCAAATAAATAAAATCTTTAAAAAATAAAAAATAAAATAAATAAGTAAATCTTTTAAAAAATTAAAAAAAAAAAAGAATTCACCCAGATTGGAAAGAAGTAAAACTGTATTCATAGATGATATGATATAATACAGACAATCCTAAGGAATAGGGGCGCCTGGGTGGCTCAGTCAGTTAAGCGTCTACCTTGCGCTCGGGTCGTTATCCCGCGGTCCTGGGATCGAGACCCAGGACAGGCTCTCTGCTCAGCGGGAAACCTGCTTCTCCCTCTGCGCGCTGCTCCCCCTGACCTGTGTGCTGTCTCTCTCAAATAAATAAATAAAATCTTTATTTAAAAAAAAGAAAGAAAATCCTAAGGAATACACACACACACACACACACACAGTTAGAACTAATAAATGAGGGGCACCTGGGTGGCTCAGTTGGTTGGGATTCTGCCTTCAGCTCAAGTCATGATCCCAGGGTCCTGGAATGGATCCCCGCGTTGGGCTCCCTGCTCAATGGGGGTCTGCTTCTCCCTCCGACCACCCCCCCACTTGAGCTCGTTCTCTCTCTCTCTCAAATGAACAAATAAAATCTTAAAAAAAAGAACTAATAATTGAGTTCAACAAAGTTGAACTCAAAATACAAGATCAGTACACAAAAATCATTGTTTTTCTGTACTGTAGCAATGAACAATCCAAAAATGGAAAAGAAAATAATTTCATTTATAACACCATCAAAAAAGTATAAAATGCTTAGGAATAAATTTAACAAGAGAAGAGTAAGATGTACATTGAAAACTACAAACTTCATTTAAGGAAATTAAAGAATGTGTAAATAAATGGGAAGATTGACTGTGTTCATGGAGCTAAATATTGGAAAGGCTTATTTTATTAAGGTTTAATATTGGAAATATGGTAATACTACTCAAATCGATCAATAGATTCAACATATCCCTATCAAATCCCTCGCTGCCTTTTTTGAAGAAATTGACAATCCAATCCTAAAATTCATATGGTAATACAAGAGACCCAGAATAGCCAGAACAGTCTTGAAAAAGAACAAAGTTGGAGGACTCACATTTCCCAGTTTGAAAACTTATTACAAAGCTACAGTTATGATGTAGACTAGCATAGGATAGACATGTAGATCAATGGAATAGACTTGAGAGTCCAGAAGTAGGCCTTTATATTTATGGTCAATTGATTTTTTTTTTAATGTAGGCTCCACACCCAGCATGAGCTTGAACTCAGGACCCTGAGATCATGACCTGAGCCAAAACTAAGAGTCAGAAACTTAACAGACTGAGCCACCCATACATCCCAGGGTGTCTGACTCTTGATCTTGGCTCAGGTCTCGATCTCAGGGTCCTGAGATCCAGCCTGGCGTCGGGCTCTGCACTTAGCACAGAGTCTGCTTTTCTTCCTCTCTCTCTCTCTCTCTCCCCCTCTCTCTGCCCCCCCCAAATAAACAAAATCTTTAAAAAAAAAAGTCAGACATCCACCAACCAAGCCACCCAGACGTCCCCAGTCAACTGATTTTTTTTAAAGATTTTATTTGAGAGAGAGAGAGAGCATGAGAGGGGGGAGGGTCAGAGGGAGAAGCAGACTCCCTGCTGAGCAGGGAGTCCAATGTGGGACTCAGTCCTAGGACCCCGGGATCATGACCTGAGCTAAAGGCAGTTGTGTAACTAACTGAGCCACCCAGGCACCCTCAACTGATTTTTTTGACAAGAGTGCCAAAGCAGGGGCACCTGGCTGGCTCAGTCAGTGGAGCATGCAACTCTTGATCTCGGGGTCATGAGTTTAATCCCTACATTGGGTGTAGAGCTTACTTTAAAAAAAGAAAAGAAAAGAAAGAGTGCCAAGGCAATTTAATAGGGGAAAGAATTGTCTTTAATACATGTGTTGGGACAACTGGGTACCCACATGCAAAACAATGCACTTGGACTCCTTTCTCACACAAACACAAAAGTTAACTCAAAGACCTAAAGTAAGGCCTAAATTAAGAGCTACAGCTATAACACTCTTAGGAGAAAACATAAATGTACCTCTTCCATGACATGACACCCAAAATACAAATGACAAAAGAAAAAAATAGGTAACTGCATTTCATGAAAATTTAAAGCTTTTGTATTCAAAAGATACCATCAAGAAAGTGAAAAATCAATTCACAGTACAGGAGAAAATGTTTCAAATTATGTTTGAAAGTCCCTGATAAGGGACTTATATCTAGAACATATAAAATACTCTTACAATTCAACAATAAAAAGACAAATAGCCCAATTGAAAAATGGGCAAAGGATCTGCTAGGCATTCCTCCAAAGAATATATACAAATGTTTAAAAAATATATTTAAAAAAAATAATCTACAAATGGCCAATAGCACATGAAAAGTTGCTCAGTATCATGAGTCAGTAGGGAAATACAAACCAAAGCCACAGTGAGATACCACATCACCTCACACCCACTAGGATGGCAATAATCAAAAAGATGGACAACAGCAAGTATTGATAAGAATGTGGAGAAATGGGAACACTTATATATTGCTTGTAGGAATGGAAAACAGTGTGGCCAGGTTGGAAAATACAATGCCAGTTCCTCAGAAGGTTAAACATAGCACCTGACCTAGCAATCCGCTCCTAGGTAAATACCAAGAAAAATAAAAACATACTTCCACACAAAAACTTGTACGTGAACATTCGTACAGAATTATCCATAATAACCCCCAAATGGAAACAACCTGCATGTCCATTAACTGATGAATCGATAAACAAAATGGGGAATATCCATACAATGAATACTTCTTGGTAATAAAAGGAATGAAGTACTGATACATACTACAACATGAATGAATCTTGAACATTATGCTAGTCAAAGAAGCCAGACACAAAAGTCCACATTTTGTATAATTCCTTTTATATGAAATGTCCAGAATGGCAAATTTATAGAGACAGAAAGTACATTATTGGTTGCCAGGGGTTGCTAAGTAAAATGAGGAATGACTGCCAATGAGTATGGGGTTTCTTTCTGGTGTAATGAAGATGTTCTGGAATTAGATAATGATGATGGGTGCACAACTCTGTGAATATACTTTGTAAAAGATCAGTGAATTGTGCATTTTAAAAGAGTAAACTTTGTGATATGTGAATTGTAGCTCAAGAAAAATGTTATTAAACAAATAACAAATTTATACAAAAGAGAGAAAGAGGCAGAGGAGTATCTGCCATGGAAGCAGAGATTGGAAACTGGGCTGGGGATCCAAAGGATCCCCATGGGCAGCTCTTGGGGGAGGACCATGACTGACATTCCAGACCCTGCTTTACAGTCCAGCCTGTGTTACTGACTTACTTTGAACTCCTGAGCAAGACCCTGGGCCTCTCTCTGCCTAATTGGATCGTGTAGTTGCAAAAGACTGGAGATATTCTGTAAGTGCCTATCAGTAGAGGATATATATAATCCATAAAATGCAATAAATATAATCCATAAAAGCAATGCAGCTTTTGAAAAGAATGACATAGATATGTAATAGCCAATATTTATGGGGTGTCACATGCTATCAAGCACTTTGATGAATACTTCATTTAAATGATAACAGCTTGTGAAATATAGTTCAAATTATTAGCCCATTTCAGAAGATAACACTAAGGCACAGAGGTTAATTACACAGCAAGATAAGATCCCAACCAAGGCATTTTGGCCCCAGAGTTCATGCTCTAGTACAACATTTCTCAGAGTGTAGCTTGGGAACCCCAAAACCCTTGGGGGTCTGCAAGTTTAAAACAATTTTCATAATGGTACAAACACATTATTTGCCTTTTTCACTCTCATTCTCTCATGATAGTAGAGTGGAATTTTTGAGAAGCTACCTGATAGGTAGTATATCATCACTCTGTTTTTAAATTTCTTGTTTTCATTTCTAGTATGGTAAATATTGATAGCTATAACTCACATGAACAAAAACTCTTCTGGGACTTAGGTAATTTTTAAGAGTATAAGAAACTTCTGAGATCAAAAAGTTCAGAACTGCCACTCTAGTCTAAACTATTATCCTGTACTCATTTCTATATGTTATCAATCCATCTCTAAAATAAACTTTTGGTTTTTTAAAAAGAAGGATGTATAAAGGTGATTACAATATGCTCCTAGGTAAAAAAAAAAAAAAAAAAAAAGGAGAGGTGTCTATATGTATACACAGGATTCACAGAACACTAACAGTGGTTGTCCTTAGGGTGGGAGACTGGGGGGCAGGGAATAGGGAAGCAGGAAGTTTTTTCACTGTATATAGTTTAGTACTGTTGGATATTTATCTTCTACCGTGTGTGTATATATTAACTTTTTTTTTTTTAAGATTTTATTTATTTATTTGACAGAGAAAGACACAGCGAGAGAGGGAACACAAGCAGGGGGAGTGGGAGAGGGAGAAGCAGGCTTCCCACGGAGCAGGGAGCTAGATGTGGGACTCGATCCCAGGACCCCGGGATCATGACCCGAGCTGAAGGCAGACAGTTAAGGACTGAGCCACCCAAGCGCCCCTATATTAACTTTTCAAAACAAAGTTTTGAAAGGCAGCCTTAAGGAAAAAGAGAGAGAAATCACTAGAGTGATTAGGTGTTTCTTCTGAATTTGCCGTCCTGTGGTTGAACTCTCAGGGGCTTAGCCTGCACCTTGATATAAGGATCAGCATGTCTGTTCTACCCACTTGTAGGGATACAGGAAGAATAAAATATTGGATGTAAAAATACCTTGAAAGGCATTAAGCTCTCGGTGGGAGGAGGACCTTGTTAATCAATTTGAAAGTTTCATGAATGTGTTCACCAGTTTTCTTTTAGGTTTGTTTTGGGGCTCACAGATTGGAGGATCAGATGTAAATGTAAAATGTAAACATACTATTTTACAGTTAATCGTACAAAAGGAGCCTTTGTAGACATACATGTTTCTGATGTGTGTTTTTAGGATCAAGAAATGCAGAAATTACTATGAAATTCTAGGAGTTTCTCGAAATGCCAGTGATGAAGAGCTTAAGAAAGCTTACCGAAAACTTGCCCTGAAATTTCACCCTGACAAGAATTGTGCTCCTGGAGCAACTGACGCTTTCAAAGGTCTGATCCTGAATTAATGTTTAATTCTGCCCTTGTCAAGTTGTTTTCAGCCTCCCCTATAATTGTTTTATAAGGCCACAAACAGGGCCTTTCTTTCCTGCCATACCTCTTAAATAGTGATTATCAGCATAGCTCCCTCTTGTCTTCATTCACTTACCTTAATTTCTTTTGGGAAAAAAAAATATTTGATTTCTCTGTAATGGTACCTTTTTAGATGTGAGACATAAATAAAAATCTCACTTAAGAGCTTCACCCCCAAGGAAGCCTTTGATTCAGGCAAGAATTATCAATGGATGCTAAAACTGCCGGGTGACAGGTTTTTGCTGAATAGGATATTCACATGATTGTCAGAGGATCATCCCCCAGAATACCTACTGATTTCAAAGGGGAAACATTGCTTTATAATGGAGATATCTAGCTGTCAACACTTTAACCCAGTGATCCAACTTATTGTCACCAATACTGGACCCACCTCACATTATATGATATGGCACCTGTGTGGTATTCTTGCCAAAATGTTCAACCTGAATCTAATAATGAGGAAACCATCAAAATATGGGACATTCTACAAAGAACACTGACCTGCTCTTCAAAAAAGTCAATATAATGAAAAGCAGAAAAGGCGGGTGACTATTCTAGAGGAAAAGAAACTAAAAGGATATAAAAGCAAATACAATACATGAACCTCGCATGAATTGCATGGGTTGATGTTAATTTTCTTAGCTATGATAATGGTACTGTGATCATGTAGGAGATCATTCTAGGAGATAGATGCTGAAATATTTAGGGATGACGTGCCATAATATCTGCAGCCTACTTTCAAATGGTTCAGCAAAAGAAATGTATACATACTACATGTATGCATGTATTTATGTATGTATGGAGAGTTGAGGGAAGCAATGTGGCAAATACTAACAGCTGATGAATCAAATAGAGGGTATACATGTATTTATTTACTATTTTTTCAAATTTTCTGTAGATTTGGAATTTTTCTAAAGAAAAAGTAAAAAAATTTTAAAAGTCAACGTTTACCTAAAAGATAATCTCCCTTTGCTGATGTGCCTTTGTGAATCTTGTTCTCCCCACAGTTTCTACAAGGAAACAACTAGATAACCCACATTCTCTTTACACCTTCACATAAAGTATCTCACAGACTAATGCCATTTCTATGAGAAATTGGCCAGATTTCAAGGGATGTGATGTTGATGCAACTATTTAGCCTTTTTTGTTTGTTTTTTCTACTTAGCTGTTATATTGCCGTAAATATTTAATCTAATTCCCTCGCTAGAAGAATCATAAAGAAATGCTCTTTCTGACTGTGTTTCTCATAGTGTTGGCTGAATTAGAGGCAGGGAATGGGGATGTCTTAAAGATTTGTTTTCAAGGTTTCTTTGATTAGTGGCACTGATTGCATGTTTAAATGAATTTTAATTGGACAACATTTGCACATTTGTGCATAGGGAGAAGAGGTGATGGTAAGCATTTGTAATCTATCCAGTCTTTGATCTGTCATTGAGACACTGGAGATAGGTTTCTTAATTTCTAAAGCCTACTTTCTAAGGTAAGCTGAAACGTGACTGTGATTAGTGAGGACCTTGCTTTTAGCCAAGCAATTGATTTTACTGATTATTTTATTTAGGAAATTGTTTCTGACTTCAAGTTAGAATACCACTGCTTATGTATGAACTGTTTCCAACCATAAACTAATTGCTCTCAAGGAAAATAAGGACACATTTTTGATGAATGAAAGCAGTAGTTCTTAGTTCATCTTGAGTCCAATATTGCTTCTGGCTTATGAAACTAGATCATGGAAAATGTGAAGGGCAAGAACTCTGGTGAACTTTCTAGGTCCAAGCACCTTTTCTTAGGCCCCTGTGAGGTCATCTAGCAGCCAACAGCTCTGGGCTCTTCCTTGCTGCTTCTTGCATCACCCTCAGCTACAGCAAAGACTGTGTCCTCAGATACTTTTTGGTTTTGGTTGCAGCAATAGGAAATGCCTTTGCAGTCCTGAGCAATCCTGACAAGCGACTCCGCTACGATGAATATGGAGATGAACAGGTGACTTTCACTGCCCCTCGAGGCAGACCTTATAATTATTACAGGGACTTCGAAGCTGACATCACTCCAGAAGAGCTATTCAATGTCTTCTTTGGAGGACATTTTCCTACAGGTGAGTTTTTCAAAATTATAGCTGAAAAATTTATATATATATATTTCTGTATCTCAGCTAGCTCCTCTTTGAGGATCTGAATAGAGGGACCATGGTATGGTGGAAAGAATAAGAATTTGGAATCAGGGTGCCTGGGTGGCTCAGTCAGTTAAGTGTCTGCCTTTGACTTGGGTCATGATCCCTGGGTCCTGGGATCGAGCCCCGCATCAGGCTCCCTGCTCCGCGGGAAGCCTGTTTCTCCCTCTCCCTTGCCTGCCACTCCCCCTGCTTGTGCTCTCTCTCTCTCTCTCCGTCAAATAAATAAATAAAATCTTAAAAAAAAAAAGAAAGTATTTGGAATCAGATGAGTTGGGGTTTGAGGCAAGTCTCCAGCCTCCAACTGTGCATGATTTTAACCAAATCACTTGGTCTCTCTGATCCTGTTTCCTCACCTGAGAAATGGGACTGATAATATCAACCTCACAGGGCTGCTGTGAGGATTAGATTTTTTTTTTAAAGATTTTATTTATTTATTTGAGAGAGAGAGAATGAGAAACAGAGAGCATGAGAGGGAGGAGGGTCAGAGGGAGAAGCAGACTCCCTGCCGAGCAGGGAGCCCGATGCGGGACTCGATCCCAGGACTCCAGGATCATGACCTGAGCCGAAGGCAGTCGCTTAACCAACTGAGCCATCCAGGCGCCCCGAGGATTAGATATTTTTAAGTGCTTTATAAATAAGTAGCCAGATGCCTATTATCATTATTGCAAAATAGCAGCTATATAAAGATAAAAGTTAGAAAAATACCTCCAGAGAGTTCAATGTTGGGGTAATTAAATGCCCAGGAAGTAAACTGAATTCTATGAATTGCTGTTAAAGACACTAGTGTTGGGGCGCCTGGGTGGCTTAGTCAGTTGGGCATTCAACTCTTGATCTCAGCTCAGGTCTTGATCTCAGGATTCTGAGTTCGGGCCCCATTTTGGACTCCATGCTGGGTGTGGAGGAAAGAAAGAGAGAGAGAGAGAGAGAGAGAAGGAAGGAAGGAAAGAAGGAAGGGGAAGGGAGGGAGAGAGAAAGGAAAGAAGAAAGTAAGAAGGAAAGGAAGGGAGGGAGGGAGGGAGGAAGAAAGGAAGAAAGAAGGAAAAAAAGAAAGAGGAAGGAAGGAAGATACTAGTGACATAATCTGATCCTGGGCAAGGAAGCAGAAAAGAGCGTGTCAGGATTCATGGCCCAAATGCTCTTTCTTTACTAGACTTTTGGGGTTCTCTCACTCACTAGTTCTAAAGGACTACTTAAATAAAAGCAGGAGAACTAAGCACATTCCATTACACCTGGTTCACTTGGTTTACCTACTGTTTTATTTTTCTACTGAGTAAAATGGGACAATACTCTGCCGTCAGAGAACCTAGCTGGGAACAAGGAGCTTGGAAAAAGCAAGGAAGGAGTGTTTGCCATATCCCATACTAGGTTTTTCTTTCTTTCCCAGGAAACATTCATATGTTTTCAAATGTGACAGATGACAGCCACTATTACCGCCGGCGGCACCGACATGAGCGGATGCAGACACGGAAGGAAGAAGAAGAAGAAAAGCCTCAGGTACCAAGGGCGGACAGCCAAACTACTGCTCATCCACACTTGTACTGAGCAGACCCTTACGGTGTCTATGATCAGGTTTTAAAAGTTCAACTTGAATTATGTTGTTAAAACGTGTTTTAGGAAAGCAGAGGTAGTGGTAGGAAGGGGTGGATCACTGGCCCAAATAGGCCAGAATGGTACCTCCTTCCCCACCCGTTCTTCGGTGGTTGTTCCAGGAAATCAGTTCCCCTGTGGGGCTGTCTTGACCAAGGTTTTCTTCCCTGCAGAAAATAGGAACCCCCTTCAAAATATTCAGAACTAAAGGGAGTTTAAAGTAAGGGATCTAGGGGGTCTCATGAAGCTCAAGGGCAGGAAGCACACGTGGGCCTCAGAACAGATGGGAACCAGAAACTAGGGTATAGTCAGGTACCCATGCGGCTATCTTTCCATGACTCTTTGTGGCCAGATTGTCTCCACCTTTCCCGCCTCTCTGCATCTGCTTTATTCTCTCTAAGCAGCCTAGCTTGTTCTGCTTCCTCTTACAAATAGCCCATCCACACTGCCTAAGAGTACATGTCCTTTCTTCAGGTGACCGCCCAGCAGTGAACAGTATGATGAGTCTCAGTTCCAAACTCCTGGGAGGGAGTAGTGATTACCCCTGCTAGGGTTAGATGTCTCCCAGTCCATTCAGCTGTGGCCAAGGTGACAGAGCTGCATAATACTGACGTGGCCCCGTGAGAGTCACAGTCTGGGCAGACTCACCCAGAAGTGTCTTCTTCATTGGTCTTAGAAAAGGGGGCTGCATGAGAATTACTGGGTGTCAGTACAGGTTGTGGGTGGGTCTCCTTCAGTCTTCTCCACAGAGAGAACAGCCTTCCTAGAAAAGCTTTGGGCTTTGTGCAATATATTGCAGTCATTTGAATTTTCTTTGGGAAAACTATCCTGTTTTCTGTAAGCTTTATACTGATGAAGAACACTTACGCCAGATATTTTTTCTTTTCAGACCACGTATTCTGCATTTATTCAGTTACTTCCAGTTCTTGTGATTGTGATTATATCTGTCATTACTCAGCTGCTAGCTGCTAATCCCCCATACAGTCTATTCTATAAATCGTAAGTCAAATATTTATAAATCTTTCTTAACAATTGGGAGGGCAAAAGACTTGAACATTTTGCTGGTACTGCTAACATTTCATTTCGCCTTTGTAGAAAACACGGATTTTTTGTTTAAAGGAACAGCTGGATAGTAATAGTGCAGAGACTCAGAATTACTGTAGGCGTTTCCTGTGTGCTCGGGCCATGGATTATTTTGCTCTACAGCGACATCATCCGGTCAGCCGCAGAACAGCCGCAACTGGTTTCTGAAGGATGAATAGACTTACCTCCAGTTTCAGATTAAATCCTTATTATATCATGTTAGCTTTAGAGTGGACCCTATTGAGCTTGTGATCGGATCACTGGACTCCTCCGGGTTGGGAACATAGTATCTGAGATCCAGTGATTATTTTCAATTTAAGTAATTGGAAGAATGGGACATTTATTCATGATGAGGCTACACAGTCAAACCATAGCATCACATTTCTTTGCTATGAGCTATGATAGGAATTTCTTTATTTCTTCAATTAATTATTTCAATTAGTTCAGTTTTCATAGTTCGGTCCCCAGACCAGCATCATCTAGAGCAACTGGTAACATGTTAGAAATGCAAACTCTTAAGCCTCATGCCATACGTATTGAATCAGAAACTCTGAGGATGAGAACTAGCAATCTGAGTTTTAATAAACTCTCCAAATAACTCTGGTTCATAGTCTGATGATCATTGGATTAATTTTTTTTTTTAAGTAGGCTCCACACCCAGCATGGAGCCCAACATGGGGCTTAAACTCACCACCCTGAGATCCAGACCTGAGCTGAAATCAAGAGTCAAACACTTAACCAACTGAGCCACGCTGGCATCCCACTGGATTAATTATTTTAAGTTAGATGAGAAATGAGTCATTACTCATTATGGTTTAGCAGACAAAAACCTTACAAAATGGGGGGACCTGGCTGGCTCAGTCCGTAGAGCATGTAACTCTTAGTCTCGGGGTTATGAGTTCAAGCCCCACATTGGGTGTAGAGATTACTTAAAAATAAAATCTTTAAAAGAATAAAAAAACCTTAGAAAATGTGGAACCCGGGGCGCCTGGGTGGCTCAGTTGGTTAAGCGACTGCCTTCGGCTCAGGTCATGATCCTGGAGTCCCGGGATCGAGTCCCGCATCGGGCTCCCTGCTCGGCAGGGTGTCTGCTTCTCCCTCTGACCCTCCTCCCTCTCATGCTCTCTGTCTCTCATTCTCTCTGTCTCAAATAAATAAATAAAATCTTTAAAAAAAAAAAAGAAAATGTGGAACCCATGGGGCAGTACATAACAGGAAGAGGCTTTGCTAGCAATCACTGTAGACTGAAGACTGTATTCTAGATCAATATCTTCCTTTTACAGAGAAGAAAGCTGAGTCTCAGAGAGGGGTTATTACTATCAGGTCACTCTGGCCTGATTCCCTCTATTTCTCGACTTCCTATGTTTCTCCATTTGCTACTTCTTCCTCCTTTTTTGCCTAGCCAGTGGGGCAGAGAGGAACCTGCCCTGCTGACACCTTCCCAGATGGAGGTGGGAGCAGTCATGGCCTGAACCCTTAGACATCCAGCACGATGCTTAAGTAGGGAGATCAAAGGAGAAAACTGGGAAAATATTAACTCAGTTGAGATGGAATTTGTCTAGTTTGAATAAAACTAGCCTGGATTTTGCACATTGCTGTCACATTGTTTTAACTTGAATTTGAGCTTCCTTCCATACTTCCTTATGGTTAGTATTTAGTTAACCCAGACCTACTGATGTTTCTGAGCACCACATACCATTGGATATATTAGACCCACAAAGAGTTGGTGCAGAAGCATCACTGAAATCTTTTGTCTGACGTTTTTGCAGTTCTCACTTAGCAGCTGTGTGTGAAGTACTTCCTCTCCTGTCCTAAAAATTGATGCTAGGTTGGTGTAAGCTATCTGGTTATTTGTGAATAGTTTACTGTAACGATCAGTTCATTTGCCCAACGTTTACCAATAGCCTGGTCTGTGCCAGGTACCATGCTAGGTCCTACACAATGTACTTTTTTTTTTTTAAAGATTTTATTTATTTATTTGAGAGAGAGAGAATGAGAGACAGAGAGCATGAGAGGGGGAGGGTCAGAGGGAGAAGCAGACTCCCCGCTGAGCAGGGAGCCCGATGCGGGACTCGATCCCGGGACTCCAGGATCATGACCTGAGCCGAAGGCAGTCGCTTAACCAACTGAGCCACCCAGGCGCCCCCACAATGTACATTTTTTTAAGCATTCAGCACTCGTGCTCACTTCCGCAGCACATATACTAAAAAAAGCATTCAGCACTCAACTTTTAGCACAGAAAGCAATATAAGAGAGGTAAATCCTTGAAGAGAATAAAGTAACTATACTGAGGCTGAATTCACAATATGAATACACTCAAATAATGATGACATTACAGTTGCTATGGAAATAATAAATGTTAGGAGTATTAGACAGTGGTACTTGCAGCTGCCCTATGAAGAGGGGATTATGGTCATGATATCTGTGCAGTCAGTGCGAAGAGTGAGATTGTCAAATATAACCAGCTTACCTGAGCCTCCCTCTCTTTGTCTCAGGACCTTGGGCTACACCATCTCTAGAGAAACACAGAACCTGCAGGTGCCTTACTTTGTGGATAAAAACTTTGAGAAGGCCTACAGAGGAGCATCTCTCCGTGACCTGGAGAAGACGATAGAGAAGGATTACATTGATTACGTCCAGACAAGTTGTTGGAAGGAGAAACAACAAAGTAAGATGTTCTAAAAGGGACTTTAACTGGTGGTCATGCTTCCGACCTGAGGCATGCCCAGCTTCCCAATCCCTCCTCTTCCCTTGTTTGAGTAGCACGTGTTTATGTATGTGATCAGAGACAGGGCAGAGGCCCATTTGGGACACCACCAAAAGAGTGAAGTTCGTTGTCAGGATACATGTGGCCAGCATTTGGAAACGTTAGGAACTTAGGCAGGCAGCACTAGTTGCCTGTCCATCTGTCTGTCTCTGAGTGTCTGCCACTCACTGCCCGTCTGCCCCACTCTCCTCTCTGCCAATTGCCTTCCTTTGCTTCTTCAAGCTTTCAAGGTTTTGGTTGCTACCCTCCCCATCCCTCTCCCAGCTCCCACAGCCCCACTAGTTATTGGCCCCTTTCTAGCTGGATTGGTCCAGTTTCCTAATTCCACATTCCCTATGGGAAAATCTGATTGATCCAGCCTAATTTTTTGAGCCAGACCAAAAGTCAGCACTAGCCGGCTGGGGCCACCTAGATCAAACGTGACCCTACCTCTGGGTCTGCCCCTTCAATAAGGGTGGGTTTGAGCAGGCCTTCCACTCTGTTCCCTCTCTGGAGACAATGGGGGTGTCAGTGTCCGCCAGTTGGCTTACAACTCCAGTTGAGTATTAATGGGGAGTACGGGTAGCAAGGGTAGCCCTGCCTCTCAGCCAACAGGTTCACTTTTCATCCCTTTGAATTCTACACATACACACACGTATGCACACCTGTGCAGGTGGCGGGGGGGCACATACACACAACCTTAATAACTGTATCCTATAAAACGTGGCTTTAATTTTTAACAAGCAAACGAACTCATTTTTTAAATGGTATAACTGGATATCATTAAATGTCTACCAGTGCCTGATAAGATTAGCTCTTCAGTCACAGTGCTGCTAAGCCCTTGCTGACCCATCATGCAGCCCAACCCCACCGCCACGTTAATCTGTCCTTCCTATGTGTTCTTAAAGCTCTTGGTCCATGCTGCTAACACAGTACTGCTCTCAGCGTTCGTGCGCTGTCGGTATGTGTCAGTCTCCCTGCCGGACCACGGGCCTCTGACGATAAGAGCCATGTCTTACCAATCTTGTGTCCCAGGCCCCTGGCACCATCCTTGCTCCAGAACAGGTGCTCAACAAATGTCCTTGGAAGAGAGGATTCTCAGACCTGGAAAATAATGAAAATGTGTGCGGATTAAAAATCACAGAGCAGGGTTAGCGTCCTTACCCTAGCCCCTAGGGACCTTGTCTCTGCCTTCTACTTCTGTAGGGCAGAGCCCACCTCCACTCTCAGGTGCATTAGGAGCTTGATGGGCAATGATTCTGAGACGTAAGGGGAAATTAAGCAGGAGGAAGTTGCTTTTCAAAATTTACTGAAAAATAAATACTGAAAAAAACTGAGGAGGTCAGGAAGTACCCTACCTCATGTTAAACTAGTTGTTGCAAGTTTCAAAGATCAGGAAAGAATTTTGGAGCAAGAAAAGGCTTTGGACAGAAAGGCATTTTATACACAGATCTAAATCAGGTGAAGGCCACAGTGTGTATCCTAAAAGTCCCCATTGTATTCAACCCTGGGAGTGTTTTGAATTTGTTGCTTTCTGCAAGAACTGGATGAAAATCTGCATTTCACATTCTTCAAACACACACCCACCCACATACACTCCCCAGCTGGAACTATGCAAAGAGCTCACGGTAAAGATTACATCTAAAATGGCTTTTAGGCTTCTTCTCCCCATCTCCATGAGGCCTAGTTTCAGGACTTTGGTACTCTCTAGGTATAAATAAAAATCCAATGGGTAAGCAGGATGCATGTACCCACAAGTTCCAAAGAGGGGGTTATCTGCACACACCCCTTAAAAATCTATTTCTGGCATTTAAGGGTGGTTGTCCAGACTCTCTCCACAACCCAAATGCCATTTGAGAATGAGCAGCATGTGCCCTCCGGATCCAGCAGCAAGTGCAGCCAAGGTTAAATTTAGCACTTGGAGGTTGTAAAAATAAACCCACTTGAGAACAGAGTTCACTCTTGGCAAAATACCGAATGGAAACTGTTTTTAGCAAAGTTAGCCATTGTCTTTTTTAATCTTTTGTTCATTTCTCTTCTCTGTTTTCCCTAGAATGCTTAATCTGAGTGAACTTCTGTGAGTAATTCCCTACTATGAACACTGATTGCCCTGTTTACTCCTCCACAGCTGCGTCTAGATAATCAACCCAATGCCAGGGGAAGTGCCACTGGGCTGGGATGGACAAAAGTAACAGGCAGGATCTGCCGCCCAGCCTGGCAGAGCTGAGCTGAGATCCTGGCCCTGCCCGGCCGAGGAGCACTTTTTCCATGCCCTGGACCAGGGCAGCACCGTGGGTAGAAGCTTAGGCTTTGAAATGGGGATAAGACGCACTTCCTCCTAGAGACGCCGTACGGGCTATAGAAGAGGGTATGGGTATAATGCTTAGCCTGATGTCTGGCACATAGTAAGCGCCCAGTTCCTGCTGGAGTCCAGGCCTTGTGTGACCTGGCTAGACTGTATGTAGTTCTGTCTCATGGAGCTGGATCCTGAGGGTGGCTGGGATCCGCTGCGGTCTTCCAGACCACAAGAGTGCAGAGGGTTCTTTGGAGGGGCTTTGGGACTTGTTTCTTTAGCAATTTGCCTGAGTCTGTTTGCCTGGAAGGCTCAGTGCTCTGTCCATCTATCACAAGGGGCAAGGGAAACATTTGGTAAAGAAGAAAAAAAAAAAAAGAAAAGCCGTTGTCTTGATGCCCCTTCCAAGGATTTTTTTTTTTCTTTTTTTCACTTAGAAGTCACTGAGTATTAACAGTCAAAATGTGTCAAAAGTAACATATTGAGCTGACCTTTTTACTCATGGAAGGGCAAAAGCATTCACTGGCAGTTTGGAGAGAAGTTTCTCCAAGCATGGTGGTGGTCATTGAAACACTGACATTGTTGCAAAGTCATTGAACTGGAGCAGGGGTCTCAACCCCTGGAGCTTTGAAACCTGGTTTTAATGAACTTTATGTAAAGCAATGTGATATTTTGAGAAAAGCATCTATCTAATCCTTCATCAGCTTGTTAGAGTGGACTTCAATGTAGAAAATAGTAAGAATCACTAGCCCTTAATTCTTTCTAGAATGAGATGTCAGGCAATGAGGCATTGAGATAAGCTCAGCAAACAAAAAATCTAAGGAAATCGTTGAAGGAAAAGCAAAGCCACAGAATCTGTTCCATATGCGGGCGTAACAGTGACTCCAGAGGACCAAAGGCATAGAGGCCTCCTGAACAGGTTTCCCACACACCAGAGAAGCCAGGGAAATGGAATTGGTGCGGTGGGCAGGCCCCCCGGCGGGGGGGGGGGGGGGGGGGGGCGCTTTCATTTGGGCGTGGCACCCAGTCCTCCAGGAAGCCCCGTCGCCTGCAAGGATGACGGTGCCAGGGCAAGCCCGGGCGAGCAGGCAGTGCGGGCACTCACACCAGCAGGTGAGAGCACATTGTTCTGGGGCCCAGGAGCCACGCCGCTTGCCAAGCCACTGCTGGGCTAGGGCCTGGGCTCTGAGCCTCCATTGTAGAGGGAGGGTTTTCATGCATGGCCACCCCTCACCCTGGAGTCCTGCACTTAATCTGCACTTTGGGCCTTACTTGGTGTAAATAGAATCATTGTGAGCAGAAATGCCAGACAGCGTTTTGTGTTGATAGAAACTTATTCAGAAACCAATGCCCATTGTTCCCCCTGGCTAAGTATTAATTCCTGTTTCCAGTCAGTTTGCTGATTAATCAGACAGGTGCCTCTCGTTCCAGCAAGAAAAACAAAATCTGTTGGCAGGATGATTAAGAATGGATAGACATATTTCAAAATGATTAAAATAGCATTTTCACAAGTATGGTCCTTTAAACACCGAGAAGCTGCCTGCTGTCGGAGGCTTTCAGAAGCCACACGGCCCATCCAAGCGTGCCATCCTGTTAATACACAACACGTCTCTGGGGGGGTGCTTTTCAGGCTTTCCTTCCTAAGAATGTCTCTGAAACTTGACAAAAGAATGAAAACTAGAGGCAGCCAAACCGCCGTTGCGTCGGCAAAGACAGCAGAGATTATATTCTGGTTAAAAATAGAATGACCTTCTCCACCATGAAGAGAAAGTGAAATTCATTTAGTCTAGGAGACAAAGGTCACCGGATCCAGATGATTTCACTTTTCAAAGAGCCCAGCTGCCTTGGCCTTTGAGTTAGGGACCCCACATGTGGTGAAGGAATGAAGAAAGCGGCCAGCAGCCTGGCCTTCTATAGAAGGCATGCCCAGCGGAGGGAGGCTCTGTGTCAGTTAGCATGTCTGAGTTATGATCCAGCAACGCAGGGGACAGAATGGAGCAGCTGTCTTTGTTTCAGATGACAGGAACAGGCGATTGGGCTCCACTCTCTCCCAACTGCCATCTGAAAGCCATCCGTACGAAGGCCGTGAAACAGAGTCTCCTCTTACTGCACACGTGCACGTTTCCTAAGTCTGGTGCCAAATGTTCTATTGATAAGAACTAAGCCCAGTGCTTTCATAATAGAGCACAGATACTGTAGGACTCTGGGACCACAGGTGGCCTTTAATCCTCGGCACCTGGTGTAGCGTAGCTGCCGGATTCGCGTTTCTTGAACAAATGAGTAAGCGTTTCTTAAATTTAATTAAAAGAAAAAGCATGAAAGTAAAAGGAGCTTTGATTCCAGAAATATTGAAACAAAACAAAGGAGCCCAACTCTCTTGATGAATTGGTTACCTCTTTTATCTTTCAGAGTCGGAATTGACAAATTTGGCAGGATTATACAGAGACGAACGACTGAAACAGAAGGCAGAGTCGCTGAAACTTGAAAACTGTGAAAAACTTTCCAAACTTATTGGCCTGCGCAGAGGTGGCTGAGAGGATGCTAGTCCTACACAGGGTTGGGGTTTTGCTACTTGTTACTATTTATGTTCCTAATTCCATTTTATAATACAAAATTAGGAAATGACGAACATTTTACAAGTTGCTCACTTTGGTGGGCAGAGCTGAAGGCACTTGAGCATGGAGCCAGACTCATCATCACAGAAGCCTTCCTGGGGATTGGCTCCAGGGGCCACGAACAGTTCATCTGAATCGAATTAAAGGCAAAGCATTTGATGCAGGCCCTCTGCTCCTTGCCTGCCCCGCCTCTGGGATTGTAGTTCAGGCATCCCAGGGCAGACGCACATTGTCTTCCTCCTTCCCTTCTTCAGTTAAGTCTCGATACCCAGTCATTCCTAGGCATGGCCAAAGCAGCTTCGTATTAGCTGTTTACAGTGTACACCAAGAATGATACCTCTCCCTGTGAGTCATCGTGGCCCCTGGCATTCAGCCCTTGGAACAGGTGCCTGCCCAACTTCGCACTTTCTAAGGGAAATGTGGAGAGATGTAAACTATTATTACAATCAATACTTTTCCATTTGCCTATCTCTGTTCAGAGTTACTAGCATTAGCAAACTGCCTGATTGGAGTTTCTTTTACTTCCTTAACTCTCTCTCTTGTAGAGGGTCCAGAAAGTAAAAGCCACTGGGTGAAAGAAACAGTTCCATGGACAGCCCAGCAGCAGAAAGCAGGGACCCAGGGATGAAGGTAAAACGCAAGACTGAGTCTCAGCTTCTCGGTGCAGGTTCCCCAGTCCGTCACAGACCCGGAGAATATGGGTGGGTTTTGCCCTTTCCCCTGCAGCATCACACTTGACCGGAGTCCCTACACCCCACAGAAGGACAGTGGTCAGACCTAAAGCAGGCATTGCTGGCCCCCCAGGCTTGTTGCTCAAGCCTAGAGCTGGAGGGGAAAGACCCTCTTTCCGTTGCTTCGGAGGTCGGTGTTGGTCCCAGCCGTCCCTGTCTTTACCCCAGGGCCCCATAGCTTGTGACGTGAGATGCCTTTTCGTGTAGTCAACATGTATTGAGTGCCTAGTATGAAGCAGGAGCTCTCACATATATTTTTTTATTTTAGCCTCCTCACAACTCTGTGAAGGAGACATGTTATCCCTTTGTTTATGAAAGAGAACATTGGCCCAGAGATGATGAATGGCTGACCCAGTCATACAGCTGGTAATGGCAGAGCGAGGTGGTAGGCTGACCCTGGGACCCTGCATCCTCTTTACGGCAGTCCTGCGTTCACTCCAGACACCTTCCTCCCTGGCCTTGAGGAAGCAAGACCCTGTCTATAACAATTCTGTATACAAAACAAGAGGTCCCTCAAAAGCAGGCAGCCCTTCCCACTGGTGACAAGGAAGAGGTAAATTACTGCCTAGGCCCCGTGGTTCTGGGCCCTCTCGTCTAGGTGAACTACCAGGGTTGAGCTGCCTAGATCATCATGAGTCAGAACCTGGAAGATCAATAGGTGACTGTAGTCTACACTCCATGTTTTCTTCAGGAGGAAAGGAAAGTTCCTATATCAAAACTGATTTCCAAAGTAGAGTTTGTCCTTTCAGAGGTACAGCCTTGATTTAGGCAGACATGTCTAGCATGGTTCAACATGGACATTTCACAGGGTCAGGAGATGGGTCCAGAGGTGAAGAGTGGATCTTTGGTGGCTGGTAGGGGCCACCTGCTCGGCTGTGGGGAGGGGAGCAGCTCCAGAGATAGCCAGATTTTGCTGCTCAACTAGGTCTATCTTCCTGGTTTGGGGGACTTCCTTGATCCTTTCTGAGTAGCTGAGGGGATTTACACTATAAAATATGCCTGTGAGCCAAACAGGCTTATGGAAAGATTCCCTATACACACACAAATCAAAGCTCTCCCCTCCCCAGCTCCAGTCTCTGCTAGAAAAAAGGGGCCATGATTAAATTGACTTGACATGGATTTCATGGCAGAGATGAGTTACCTGTGATGACACTAAAGAGAGGTAGAACTACATTAAACATCAGGTCTCTTGTCTGTTTTCATAGCACGGATGGTACTGTTGTGTTTATCACCTCAGAGACTACACCACCTCTGGCTTTCCTCAGCAGAAGGGTTTTTGCCTTTGTTGAAGAATAGTTTAATCCATTTGTCACGGTCCAGAATATGACTACACTCTAATTTCCTGGGTTCTATTTTAGATGGGTTGTCTGCATGATGGTAAAATAAGCATCTTCCTCTTGCCTACATCTTTTGGAAGGGTTCCTGATGATGTATAAACTCCTTAGGTCAGGCTGATTCTTGCTGTGTTGCCATGTCGCTCTCTGCATTAATGCAGAATGGAGAGCTCTGAGGTGGGAGTGGGGCTAAGAAGCAGGGCTAGCGGCTCAAGCAGAAGGTGAAGCTCCCACTCATCAGAATGAAAGGACACTCTGCGCCGCCTGATCAGCAGTGAGGAGGGGAGGGGGAAAGCCCTTCTCACACAGAGGACACCACAGCTTCAAGGAATCCGTGTCCCCACATTAGCAACCCTGGGGTTCATCTGTTCAAACCAGAAAACTTCTGAACTTCCTTGATCAGCTCCAGGCCTCCCAGCTTGGGACAACTGACCAGTAAGAAAATGCCGTTGCTGTGCTTTCTGTTGGGAACTCTTAGAAATCCAAACCCCACTGGAACATGGGATCCAGCAGCCCCGCCAAGCCTTGTGTTGTTCCTCATTTTCATCCTCACGCTCAGGACCGGCTTTGTGAGGAGACACTGGTGGGATTCCAGAAGTTTTCTGTTACAACTGGCCACACTTGCTAGTTCATTGTCTCTGCATGCTCTGTTCCTCACAGAGGCTAGCTCTTAATTAGTATTTATTTTGGACTCATTTATGGTATAAGCTTAGTGTTCTAATATATTTATTTTTGGAAAGGGCCAAGTTACTCTACATCATATTTGTTGAGCCTGCATTGTTGATACCTCCTGCAATGACCACCGAGTAACTATATATCCATGTGTTCGATATTGAGTACATCATTTGCATCACACTCAGTATTTGGAATCAAAGATGTGAATGTTCTGTGACCAGAGCCGGGTTTGACACAGATGGAATCAGCTCCTGGGGAAATACGAATCCTGAAAACTCTGGTCACCTGATCCACTGCATCTGGATTGAGTGTAATTTAACAGAGAAAGAAATTAAATGATTTTATATAAAAAGAATGGGTCTATAATGGGTCCCTTTGTCCTTTTACCCTTGCTCCTGTCACCCTTGGGCACCACATACTGTCTCACTCCCTTGGAGCCAGCTGGGACTAGAGGAGGCCTAGTGTATCTCCTCTGCGCCAACCTTCCCGAATCCATCACTGGAACTGTCGGTGTTCAGAACAACAGATGACTGGGGGCATCGCCAATCCGTAGTTTTTTTCCATCAGGTAACAACAGCAGCCGCAGCATATTCCAGCCAGTGTACAGAGCTAAACTACTTAGCTTCTGAAAACCAGGTGGTATCCCAGTTCCTTACTGGCCTTGTTCCCAGTGACCCATGTTTAGGAAAGTCTTGGTTTAAATATACAGTACATGGGAGACGCCTGGCTGACTCAGAAGAACATGTGACTTTTGATGTCAGGGTCATGAGCCCGAGCCCCAGCTTGGGTGCAGAGATAACTAACAATAAATAAAAGACTTTAAAAATACAATGCGTGGGTCATAATAATACCTTTCATTTGGAAAAAGATGGAGATGAGATTCAATTAATCAAAGATGGAGAACTTACTCTGTGTCAAGTGGGCTGAGTTTGGGGATGGGGTTGGGGAACAAGTGAGACCCAGCACCACGGGCTCCTGGAGCTCACATCTGAGGGGGAAGCTAACTTCGGACAGTGCTCCCCAGCGGGATGAATGTCAGAGGGGAAACCAAGGAAACCTTGGGGAGCTATAACAGAGGAATTCAGTCCAGCCCGAGGCTTCAGTGAAAGCACCTCTGAAGAAGAGACTTGAAATATAATCACCCTTCTTACAGAATGCAGTCATTTTTTTTTTTTAACAGAAGAGGGAAGCCACACTCGGTGCTCCCAATTCCCTGCATAGCACCACCATCCATCCAAGTGCGAAAGTCAGAAAGCTAGGAAGCTCTGTATGGGAGACCTCATTTTGTATCCCCCAAAGGACCACAAGTAGTATTTGTGCCCTTGTGTAGTCCCCTTTCTAATCTGAACTGACCTTTGATCTTTAACCAATAGAACGTGGCAAAACTAGCAGCTTCCATTTTTGCACTTAGGGGAAGCCAGCTGCCACGTAAGTCCAAGCACCCTGTGAGCACTAAGCTAACCACATGGAGAAGCCATGCAGAGGAGAACCAAACAACCGAGTCGGCAGCAAGCACTGAGCACCCAGACATAAAATCCAAGCCGAGCCATGTCGGCCGCCACCCAAGCCAACGGGCAGGACGGAAATGAGCTGCCCCACCAAGCCCTGTCCAAACTGCAGAATCATGAGCAGATGATAATACGGTTACTGTTTTAAGTCATGACATTTTGTGGCTGTTTGTTTGCAGCAGTAGACAATCAGAACACCTTGGCTCCCTTTTTCTCCCGTATCCCCTCCCTCCTTAAGTCCTATCAGTTTGACCTCCTGAACAGCCTAAATCTAACTACTCCCTTCATCTCCTCTGACACCATCTGACTCCAAAACTACCAGCCACTTTTCCTGATAAAAACTGCAATAGCTCTGGGGCGCCTGGAGGGGCACAGCTGGTTGAGTGTTGGACTCTTGGTTTCGGCTCAGGTCTGATCTCAGGGTTGTGAGATCGAGCCCTGCGTCGGGCTCTGCACTCAGCCCTGAGTCTGCTTGTATTTCTCTCTCCCTCTCCCTCCGCCCCTCCCCACTGCGCGTGTGCTCTCTCTCTCTCAAATAAATAAATCTTTAAAAAATGCAATAGCTTCTTCTTCTTTTTTTTTTAAGTTTATTTAAGCAATCTCTATACCCAACATGGGGCTCGAACTCACAACCCCGAGATCAAGAGCCGCTTGCTATACTGACTGAGCCAGCCAGGTGCTCGAAAACTGTAATAGCTTCTTTTTTTTTTTTCTTTAAGATTTTATTTATTTGTCAGAGAGAGGGAGGGAGAGAGAGAACAGCAGGCAGAGGGAGAAGCAGACTCCCCGCTGAACAGGGAGCCCGACATGGGACTCGATCCCAGGACCCTGAGATCATGACCTGAACCAAAGGCAGATGCTTAACCGACTGAGCCACCCAGGTGTCCCTGTAATAGCTTTTTCTTTTCTTTTTTTTTTTTTTTTTTACGATTTTTATTTATTTATTGGCAGAGAGGGACACAGTGAGAGAGGGAACACAAGCAGGGGGGAGTGGGAGAAGCAGGCTTCCAGCTGAGCAGGGAGCCCGACGCGGGGCTCCATCCCAGGACCCTGGGATCATGATCTGACCTGAGCTGAAGGCAGACGCTTAACGACTGAGCCACCCAGGCGCCCCCCTGTAATAGCTTTTTTTTTTTTTAAAGATTTTATTTATTTATTGGAGACAGAGAATGAGAGAGAGAGAGTACATGAGAGGGGTGAGGGTCAGAGGGAGAAGCAGGCTCCCTGCCGAGCAGGGAACCCGATGCGGGACTTGATCCAGGGACTCCAGGATCATGACCTGAGCCGAAAGCAGTCGCTTAACCAACTGAGCCACCTAGGCGCCCCCCTGTAATAGCTTCTTAAGTAGTCTCTATGCATCTATTCAGGGCCACCTCCAATTTGTACACCTCACTGCAACCAGAGAGGTCTTTTCAGAGCATAAATTATGTCACCCTATTGCCTAAAGTATTTGAGTAGCTTTCTTTTTTTTTTTTTGATATTTTATTTTATTTACTTGACAGAGAGAGAGAACGCGAGAGAGGGAACACAAGCAGGGAGAGTGGGAGAGGGAGAAGCAAGCTTCCCACGGAGCAGGGAGCCAGATGTGGGGCTCGATCCCAGGACCCTGGGATCATGACCTGAGCCGAAGGCAGACGCTTAACCATTAACCACCCAGGCACCCCTGAGTAGCCTTCTTTTGTCCCCAGAATAAAAACCATCAGCTTTCTTAACACGGCCTAACGCTTAACAAGGTTCTACCAAGTTTCTGGCCACTGACCCTTCTTGCCTCTACAACCTTTTCTTTTCTGCCATACTAGCCTTTTAATTACTATACTTTGCCAACTCCTTTTGCCCCAGGGACCTTATGAATACTGTTTCCTCTTTCTGGAACCCTTTCCAACTCACCTGCCCTTACCTGTTTTGTTAAGTGCCTCCTGGTAATCTTAATAGGTTTCAGCACAAACATCCCATTTCCTCACAGAAGCCTTCCCTGACACCCCAGACTGGGCAAAAATCTCCCTTTAAAATACTCTCATTCCAGGGCAACTAGCTAGTTCAGTAGGTAGAACATGTGACTCTTAATCGCAGAGTCATCAGTTCAACCGCACGTTGGGCATGAAGACTAGTTAAAACAAAACAAAACAAAACATAATGCATTCCTCTCTTTCTTACCACCTGTCAGAGCTATGATGTTATTTCTTTGGATAATGACTCAATTTGGGATTTAAGTGGCTGTTTATTTGATGCTTGTCTCCCTCACTAGACTGTTTCATTCTGGTTTTATCTGAGGTGAACCTTGGAGAAATGACATAGTCATCCGCCAGGACGTCCACTGGAAGTGCAGCCCAAATTCTTTGAAACTACTCCTATCAATAGGTGGGATGTATCCCTGCTGATACAACATGGAGCAGAGATGAGTTTCACTATTGAACCCTGCCCAAATTGGAGTTTCCTGAGTGAAATTATTTTTTTTTTAAGCTGTAAATTTTGAATGGTTTGTTATACAGCAATAGATAATGGGAACGTCAACCAGAATGACAACGCTGTGCAGAAAGGCAACACTTCCTGGGTCAGGATCACAGAGCTGTTTGTGATGTTTTGTCATCCCGACCCTCACTGAGCCCTGACTGAGGCCAGAAGCCTGTAGTATTTGTTGACATATAGAGTGGGAGTCTGTAGCAGTCCCCAACGAGGGTGACCATCCTTCACGTCCATGCTGGTATGGATGTGGATCCAGGGTTCTTTCTTGCTCATAATCTCCTATCCGCAGGGAACTGACTGGTGACTAGCGCACTCCAGAGTTTTGCCCTGGAGGGCAGCCTATTCCAGCTTCTGGAGGTGAACGTAAATGGCAAGGGACATCAAAGTAGCACTTCATGAAAGACTCCAGAGAGAGAACACAGGTCAAGGGGGAAATCCAGTGATTTCTGCCCCAGAGGAAGGTGCAGCTCGGTCAAGGGTGATTCAGGTGAACACTCACATTTGATAGACAAATTTCCAAGAAGGTTCTGTGCTGAGGCACACAACCCACATGGCACCTTCTAGGCTCATGCTATCCAACCCAGTAGCCACTAGCTACTATGGCTATGTAAATTTTAATTTTAATTTTAACTAATTAAACATTTTTTTTAATTTAAAATGGTTCCTCAAGTCACATGAGCGACATTTCCAGTGCTGAACCGCTAGCTATCTGTGGCTCTAGGCCGCAGTACTGGACAGTGCAGATGTAGACTAATTCCATCACAGAAGTTTTATTGCACTGTACCGCTCTAGGCCCTTTAAGATTGGTCAATAGAAATGGCCTTACTCTCTTGGGGTCCCGGGTGGCACAGTTGGTTGAGTGTCCGACTCTTGGTTTTGGCTGGGGTTGTGATCTCCGGGTCTCAGGATCCAGCCTGCAGTGGGCTCTGTGCCCCACCTGGGGCTCCAAACTCATCATGGAGCCTGATGGAGTTTCTCTCTCCCTCTCCCTCTGCCTCTTACCATACTTGCACCCTCTGTCTCCACCCCCCATCTCTCTGTCTCTCTCTCAAATAGATGGATAGATGAAAGAAAGAAAGAAGAAAGAAAGAAAGAGAGAGAGAGAGAGAGAGAGAGAGAAAGAAAGAAAGAAAGAAAGAAAGAAAGAAAGAAAAAGAAAGAAAGAAAGAAAGAAAGAAAGAAAGAAAGAAAGAAAGAAAGAAAGAAAGAAAGGAAGAAAGAAAGAGGGGCACCTGGGTGGCTCAGCTCAGTCGTTAAGCGTCTGCCTTCGGCTCAGGTCATGATCCCAGGGTCCTGGGATCGAGCCCCACATCGGGCTCCCTGCTCCGCGGGAAGCCTGCTTCTCCCTCTCCCACTCCCCCTGTTTGTGTTCCCTCTCTGGCTGTGTCTGTCTGTTAAATAAATAAATAAAATCTTTAAAGAAAGAAAGAGAGAGAGAGAGAGAGGGAGGGAGGGAAGGAAGGAGGGAGGGAGAGAGGGAGGGAGGAAGGAAGGAAGGGCCTTGCTCTTAAGGATGTGAGAATAGACATAAGAAACATGGAAAAAATGAAACAAGAGCTACTACTGGGAGATCCACAGAAATGGCCACATTTATCAAGCCACAAATTTCAACCCCGAAAGAGGCCCCTGGGGAGATTTGGGGAGCAGCCTGAGCTGCTTTCAGCTCCCCTTCCTGGTCACTAATCATACTTTTTTTTAAGTTTCTTTTTTTTTAAGATTTTTATTTATTTATTGACAGAGACAGAGAATGATAGAGAGAGAGCATGAGAGGGAGGAGGGTCAGAGGGAGAAGCAGACTTCCTGCTGAGCAGGGAGCCCCATGCGGGACTCAATCCTGGGACCCCAGGATCATGACCTGAG